TGGGAATAGGCCTTTGAATTCTACCGCGGGAGTGGTGATAAGATTGACGAACATCTGCTGGTACGTCTGGGTCATTACGTGGCCAGAACCACGCTTTTATTTCTGTTCTCGTTCGCTCGAGAGCATACCTGTTAAGGGCACATAAGTCACACATGAAAGATACACCAGAGACTTACCAGCCTCCTCCTATGGAATTGAACTTTGGTCCATAGGAATATTCACTATTAATATTGACTCCGCATCCAGTATTGTAGTTCACAAACGCATTGCATTCATTAGATTCCGGGCTCCTGTGTTTTGGTGAATTTCAATACGATCTTGTTTACGTCTATCATACCCTTTCTGTTTCCGGTATGATGGCTGTTTGCATCCTTCTGAAGTATGCAGAGAGACCATATTAGGTGATACGTCGTTTACCCCTTCAATCAAGTCGATCTCTCCTCCATCTGTTTACGACTGTCAGTTATCGTGCCCTGGTAACACTTGAGACATCACCGACACGGCCATCTATCTCCAACCATCCATAAAGCGGGCCATGTACCGCATCCAACGGGCATGTGCTCTACATCGGCAACCATGACGGTCCCATGAGAATAGGCCTTCCTCGATAACAGGCGAACGGACTTTCTGCCTTTCGGAAACCAGGTCTCCAACCGAGTGACATGATCTGCACGCATTATAAAGTGGTCTTCGTGCGCGTATGATAGGTTCAGCGCTCGAGCGGTCACTTCGTCTACATAACTGTTTGCGGAACTAGTCAGACACCCAAAATTCGCCTCGATACAATGCAAGCTTACTCAACGCGACCGTGTGTAGGGTCATTAATAGCCTCATGTTCGAAATGGTGAAAGAATCCTTCTCCGATAATCTCGTCCTCTAACGCGTACCGATGGGCCAAACATAGTGTTCCGACAGTGAAGAAGGTGAAGAGCTTGATGAACATACTGTGATTTGAACTGTAATGATGAATAAATGGAATAATATTGTAGTGTGTCGCTGGTGTTTTTGTAAAGGAATGTCGATTTATGATCTGCAGCGGAAGCAGGGGTCAACAAGGGACGCGAACCACCTCGACCCGTCCACCCTTGCCAATTTTATCTCTATCGGAATCATGGCAGCTCAACCCCAGCCTGCTAGATATGATATAGCTGCTAAACTGAAGGAGATGGACACTGTTCCTTTATTTATGAAGAGCCTTCCCAATGATCCAAACGAAAATTCTGACGCGCTCGAAGCATTGCAAGCCTTGGTGCATGATGGCACCCCTGATGGTGAATAGTCTTTTGTAGTACATTTCATTTCTTCTAACATCGAGATCTACGAAGGAAGAAATTGCATCCAACTTCAAGGAACAGGGTAACGACTGCTTCAAGCAGAAGCGATATCGTGACGCTTTAGGTTTCTACAACCAAGCACTTGAAGCAAAACCCACGGATACTGCTCTCAATGAATCCTTATTGCTCAATAGGGCAGCGTGCAATCTAGAGCTGAGTAGGTCGTATTACTTAATGATCCTTTCCGTTATCTGATCTCCATCAAAGAAAATTACGGTTCGGTTCTGAGGGACACATCCAAAGTCTTGACTACCAACGCAAATAATCTCAAGGCATTCTATCGCGCTGCTTCAGCATTGATAGCATTAGAGAGAGCAGTTGAAGCCATCGATTGCTGTAAACGAGCCTTACAAATCGACCCCGAAAACTCGGGAATAAAATCAGTTTTGGAGAAAGCAGAGAAACTGAAAGCTCTTCAAGACAAAAAAGAGGAGGATAAACGACGTGCAAAGGAGGAAGCCGCCACGAAGCAACAAAAACTTGACGAAGCCCTCAAGGTAAACTCCTGGTGCCATATTTCGGTCAATATAGTTACTGAAACACTTCATATCTAGTCTCGTAATGTCC